ATAGATACATGACTATGAATATATAAAAACCACTGAGATGTACACTTTAAAAAGATGAACTTCGTGGTATGTGAACCATACCTCAATCAAACTGTTATTTGAGGGGTGCCTGGGTGGCTTAGTCAGTTAAGTGTCTGCCTTCAGCTCAGTCATGATCTCAGGGTCCCGGGATCGAGCCCCACATTAGGCTTCCTGCTCAGTGGGGAGTCTGCTTCTCCCTCTCCATCTGCCTCTCCCCCCTACTCATTCTCGCTCTCTTTCTCTTTCCCTCTCTCTCTAAATAAATAAAATCTTTTTTAAAAAACTGTTATTTGAAAAAATACTTCAGGACCTCAAGAAGGACTTTCCAAAAAAAGACATAAAAAAATTTATCTTAAAAGGAAAGAAAGTTTATTATAATCAAGCAAGACACATTTAGTAAGAAATTTTTGATGGCAGTTTACAAAGCACTATAGTTAAATATTATATAGAAATTCCAAAAATTAGTATATACACACTCCAGGAGCTTATGATCTAGTTGAGGACACAGCAGAAATAAGAAAATATAGGTTATTTAGCATTTGTTAAGTTCCTAGTGTATCATACTTTTTTAAACTTATATATTATATTTTCATTTCTATCTCACAGCATCCTATTTTTGAAAACAAAGAATAAGAAACTCAGAAAGGTTGGTTGAGTTTTCAAACACCATTCAGCTACTAGATAAAACACCCAGGTTTGAATCAAGGTCTGCCTCAACACATAACCACATGAATAGTGTGAAGTCTTCTAAGTCTCAGGTGATCAACTTCATGACTTCTCTCATCTGATCTGCTACACCTATCCTTTTTCTGGGACACCTGGTAGACCATAGCAGAGACCTAGCTGCACCAGCTGGCTGTGTGGTGGCCCTCAATAAAACAGCCCAACTTCTTCCAGAACATAACATACCAAACTCTTTCTGACACATGGATATACTTGGCCCCATCCTTGTACAAATGACTTGTTTCTTCTTAAATACAATCATTTGCTCTAGTATAGCTACAACATTTGTGTTTCCAGCAGAGACATCATGACTTTGGATTCTGGTCCCATTTCAGTGGTGAGTCAAGGGATCCTGGTTGGTGTTCAGTACACTAAACAGTAACCAAAATAAATATCCTGGAAGCCAGAACCCTAAGGCTGTCTCCACTCTGGAGGTTGTGAGGTTTCCGTTGTCAGTGTATGTTTCCTTTTCAAGACAAGGCAAGCTATGTATGTGCTAAGTAGGAATGTTACATGATCCACCCCCCCGCCCACCCGTGCTAAAAGGAAAACACGGGTAGAATATAAGAGAGAAAAATGGCGCCAGAAACAAAGAAGAGCCAAACTAAATTTGGCATTTCACCTTCCATTTCCCCCTAAATGCTGCCTACCCACAACCCCAACTCAGTGTCAGATGTTTCAAATGTTTTCATTGTTCCTTCCCCCAGCCCAGCTCAAATCCCAGAAAGAAAGGTGGGGTGAAGGGATGGGGGAATCAATGCCGTACAGATGTGTTTATCCCCTCTTGCCTGGATAAAAGACTTCTTTCAAGTATCGTGCATATCTTCCAGGCCGAATCTCTGCATGCTTAGGAACGCCACATGGCAGTCAGGTCAGGGCTGCTCTTTTGCTGTCCTTCTCATGTCAAACCCAAGCTTTTGTTCTCTGATGTGAAGGTTGACAGATGTGTGTTCTCAGGCAGCCGGCACGCTGAAAACACATGGCAGACTGAAACTCCTGGTCTCCTTGGCCAAAGCACGGCCAATGACTCCGTGATTGCCCAACAGGCTCCAGGACCCCACCGGGGTGGAGACAGGGTGAGATGGGGGTCATTGCAGGATCAGGACCATGCTCAGGAAAGCAGAAAGGGAGAGAGAAACTGCAGTGAGTTCTCACTGCTTCCTGGGACCTGGGGTGCTACCATGAGATCTGCTGTGTGTTGGAGAAGCTGGATTTTGATATTAAATTATAGCAGAGGCTTGTGACACCTTCTGTCACTTAGCACTCTGTTTCCTGATATGCACTCACAGGTACACAAACCTCTCCCTTCCCTCCCTCTTTCCCTCCTTCCCTCCTTCCATCCTTTCTGTATCTCCTTCTTTCTTCCGTATTTCCCTCCCTCCCTCCTTCTCTTCCTTTTTCTTTCCTTCCTTCCTTCTTTCCTTCCCTCCTTCCTTTCTTTCCTTTTTTCTTCTCTTCCTTTCTTTTCTATCATGTCCCAAATGCTCTTTTTTCTTTCCTCCCTTTATTTTTCTCTCTCATACTCACTTTCCCATCTTTATCTCTGTTTTCCCTCCCCATGTCTGTCTCTCTACTCCCCCCACCACATCTCTCTCTCTCTCTCCCTCATACACACACCCCTCTCTCACACACATATCCTTACCATGTCTCAGAGACCAAAACATACTGAAGGCTCCACAGTTCTGCCCTTTGTTAATTCTGGGTCCAGATCCTCTTCCTCTGGCTTTTCCCAGTGTTCTGGTTGTTGTTTCGGATGACGGACTGCTCTGGCTGCCTGCTGGAGTTCAGGCCACTTACCTTTCTTAGCAGCAAATCATTTTACATTTACAGATCCGATGGAGTTTCTATGTGTGTCTGATTTCCCCTAGAAGTTCTCACCCTTTTCTCTCAGCACTGAGCAACCTCATTTCCCCCTTACTGCCCCAGCGGTGGGCAGTGTAGCTCCTCTGTCCTGCTCCAAGGTCCTCAGCATGAGGCACCCAGTCAGACAGAAGGCATTTGTGTCTCTGCTGGCCACTTAGTTCTCCCCAACTTTCTGTCCGTACTCTGGCCAACTCATCCAAGTCTGGAACTTGCCAGCTGCTCCATCTTGTGATTAGAATTTTTCATGAAATTGTATTAAGAACCTAAAAGAGGGTATGTGCCATGGTGAGCACTGTGAATTGTGTTAGGCTGACGAATCACAGACCTGTACCTCTGAAACAAATAATACATTATATGTTAAAAAAAAAAAAAAGAAGAAGAAGAAGAAGATAGTAGGAAGGGAAAAATGAAGGGGGGGAATCGGAGGGGGAGACGAACCATGAGAGACTATGGACTCTGAGAAACAAACTGAGGGTTTCAGAGGGAAGAGGGGTGAAAGGATGGGTTAGCCCAGTGATGGGTATTAAAGAGGGTATGTATTGAATGGAGCACTGGGTGTTATATGCAAACAATGAATCACGGAACACTGCATCAAAAACTAATGATGTAATGTATGATGATTAACATAATAAAATCAAATTAAAAAGAAAAAATATGCTGCTAAAAAAAAGAACCTAAGAGAAATGTAATCTAAATTTGGATCCTGGGATCGAGCCCCGCATTGGGCTCCCTGTTCAGCAGGGAGTCTGCTTCTCCCTCTGCCCCTCCCCCTCCCCTTACCCCTGCCCCTGCTCATGCGCTCTCTCTCTCTCTCTCTCTCTCTCAAATAAATAAATAAAATCTTTAAGAAATAAATACATACATACATAAATTTGTGATGGCATGCAGAAGGCATGTGTTGAGGGGATAAGGCATCTGTATTTGAACTTTACAATAAAGTAGGTGTGTTACGGTAGTGTGTCAGAGCCTCTACTGGTTATCCCTGAGATGCATTCTCTTTTTTCCTCCACAACTCCCCCACCCCAAATATTGGCTGGGTACATAATTACCACAATAGTACACTCCCCAAGCTCCCTTGCAGCTAGATATGGACATATGACGAAGTTTAACTGATGGATGTAAGTTAATATGACTTATGTGATCCTTATATATGGAAATCCTTATGAATGTATGATAGGGCTTGCATAACATCCATGATGTATATATACTTCAGTGGAATGTTTGTGCCATTCTTTGTCCTTTTCTTCCTTCCTGGAGGCTAGATTAACAGTGTGATACCTGGAGCTGGAGCAGCCATCTTGTGGTCTCTGGACCCCAAAGTGGAAGTCTTATTGAGGATGAGAGAGCAACATGCGGAAAGGAGCCTCATTTCACTGATGATCATGGAGCTATCATTTCAGCCCTGGGCTGCTGATGTTTATGTGAAAACAAATAAAATTATATCTTATGTAAACCACTATTTTTTGTGGGGTTTTTTGTTGTTGATTATTTGTTTGGTCTGTCCCTCACTTCCCCCAACTCCAAAGGAGATCAAAATATATGATCACTAAGTCTGTCCTGGGTCTGAAATGCCAATGATTCCAGTTAAAAGTTGTGGATGCATTTACAGAGCTCAACATTCCTAAGTTCAACTGCAAATTCAACTCTAGGTCAGAGTGGCTGGTGCAGCTTAAAAGAAAGTCACAGCTCTCATTTCTTTTCTCCCCATCACTCTATCTACTTAGTGATGACGAGTTCCCAGTGGCAGGCAGAGGGGAACCCAAACAAAAATAGTTATCACTTACTGAGCCCTCACCATGTAATGGGCTTCATTTATTTGTCACAACAGCCCTGGGAGGCAGTTACCCTCATCACCTGCTTTTGTGGTTGAGAAAGAATGTTGGTAACAAACAGGATCCAACCAGGGTATGTGTGACTCCAGAAAGGTTATCTCCCAAGAGGACATCTCAGTATGGGGAACCCAGAGGAGAAAACCCACCAAGTAAACCCATGTGTATGCCTGTGTGGAAGGGAAACTAGTAAGTGCAACATGGTCACTTGATATAAGGTCAAGAAAGACCAGTCCACCCCAAATCCTTCTTTCATGATCGAAACCAGAGCTACTGTATGCTATGTCCCTTTACGTGAGCATGATCCGGTTGGTGTAGTAGGAGATAACATAGTCCTCTGTGCTGAGGATAGTGATCTTCTGAGGACAGATCAAATCCTGGCCTAGAGGAGATATTGGAGCTGGGAAATGCACCCTACCCACCTTCAACAAAGGCAAAACACACCCCAGTTGTTGTGTTTTTGTTTTGCTTTGCTTTGTTCTGTTTTTCAGAGAAAGGCAGGCTTGCCTTTTTCTCCCTCTTGAAATCAATCCAACCTCAACCCCATGTCTAGCAGAAATAAATAAGGCATGTTCCCACCCTCAAGGAGGACACAATACTGTACTCACCTTTATAGTTGAGGTATTCATGGATTCTCTGTAGGAAAGGTTTATTATCCTCCTTTTACAGGTCAGGAAGCTGAGGCCTAGAGAGATAAAATGACTTGCAAAAAACTCATGATGGAGCCAGGATTTGGATCTTGGTCCAAAGACTCCAAATCCCATAAAACTCTATGCTGAACATCAACCTCCTAAATGAGATCGTGGTCCTAATCCCAAGCCAATGCTTCTTTCTAAGAAGCCAGGCCCATTTTTAAAAAAGCAATAATTAATTTCAGCTCTTGATCATAGACATCATTCTAGAATCACCAATGGCTGGAAGATACCTTAGAGAATATCTAGAACAACAGTGTCCCCTTAAAGTTGAGGGATTTGAGTCCTAGAGACATGGCATCCTTACCAAGGGTCTCAGAGCTCTCTATGGCAGAGTCACCATCAAACTCAAGGTTGTGACTCTTGTACTACACCAACCTACTATTTCTATTTTCAGAGGAGGCTACAAACACTAGTGGTTCAGCCTGTGAGTTCTGCAATCAGTCTTGGGTTCAAATCTCAACCATGAAACATCTAAGCCATATGACATTACACAGTTTCTACAACTTTCCTATGTCTTACTTTGCTCATGTACACTTGGAGATGATAATGGTTCTTGTTAGGATGAGCAAAGGAGGTGATGCAGTGCAACAATCAGTGTGGTATCTGGCACACAGTAACTCTCTGGTAAACACCACTACCTTATTATCATCTAAACACTTACCTCTCCATGGACATGTCATAAAGAAAGGAGACCAAGGCATCAGGGAAGAGGGATAAAATTCAATGTGTATAGAGAACACAAGCATTTCCCTCATCTCGAGCTGACAGTAATAAGTAGAACCTGGAGATCATATCATATCTCCAAAAAAGAATTCTAAACAAGAAGACGAGAAGCACAGAGTAGGCATCTCCCACCTCTGGGATCACTTTCTTACCTGCTAATGCATCATTTAGCATGTGCCTTCACACATCACCCAGAAAGTTCCAGTCTTCTCCTGTAAGTGAGAAATTCCTCATTCCACAAGTGTTAGGATTTCCAGGGATTAGGGGGAAAGGCAGTTAAACATCCATATCCCTCAGTAGAGAGAAGGGAGAGTCCCACTCATTCCCCTATCCAGGTCCTCTCTCCCCTCTCACTGGCCTCACCCTCCACACGCTCTCCTTGCCCTAAGCCTTCTCCAGAAGTTGAGTTGGCTGCTGTATGAGGACACTGTTCAAGGCAACCACAAACCCCACAGTAACAAGGATGGGTGGCTGTGCGTGTCTTACCCCAAGCTTGAGAACAAATCCTAAGCACCCAACCTCTTATAGGTTTCAGATTGCTTGCAATATATACACAACCTGGCAAGGGGTTTATCTTTTTTTTTTAAGATTTTATTTATTTATTTGAGAGAGAGAGAGAGACCTTGAAAGGGGGAGGGTCAGAGGGAGAAGCAGACTCCTTGCTGAGCAGGGAGCCTGATGCGGGACTCCATCCTGGGACTCTAGGATCATGATCTGAGCCGAAGGCAGTCGCCCAACCAACTGAGCCACCCAGGCACCCGGGGCTTCTCTTTTTAAAAGCAAATTAGGACCAGTCCCATGTGGACCCAGTCTGTAACATCTGCTGCCTTTACAGAGTAGAGGAATGGAACATGAGGCCATGAGACAAGCAAAAGTGTCATAGGCAGAGAGTCCCTGGTTTCCACCTGGCTCCCCAGTCACTGGGAGGGTGGCCTGCAGGTCACCGACAGGACTGCTGACCTACCAAACAACCAGTAGGCTTTTGTCTGAAGGAGGTTGAGATGTGTCACTAGCCAACTTTTCCTTTCCAAAATGGCTCCTGGAAAGATGTGTTCAATTTGTGGCCCTGGAAATGTGAGAATAACACACATATGAGGAGGAAATTACAAGGAAGTCATTGTGCTAGCCTCCCAGCCTTTCTGCCATCACCACCGTCACCTCCACCATCACCACCATCACCACCATCACCTCCGCCATCACCACCATCACCTCCGCCATCACCACCGTCACCACCATCACCTCCACCATCACCACCATCACCACCATCACCTCCGCCATCACCACCATCACCACCATCACCTCCACCATCACCACCATCACCTCCGCCATCACCACTGTCACCACCATCACCTCCGCCATCACCACCGTCACCACCATCACCTCCACCATCACCACCATCACCTCCACCATCACCACCGTCACCACCATCACCTCCGTCATCACCACCGTCACCACCATCACCTCCACCATCACCACCATCACCTCCACCATCACCACCATCACATGATCACTTTCCACCATCACCACCACCGCCACCATTATCACCATCATTACCACCACCTCCACTACCACTCTGGCCTGGCTCCACACCCACACTTACACTCATGATATTAAAGCCTAGCTATGCCTTTAAATCCAGCCAAAATAAAAAGAGGATTTTGGTAAAGCAGAGGAAGAGCCAGGAAGTCTTTTTAGCATAACATCAGCATAAATGATATAAATGCATGACCAATGTTCTATCCACAAGTTTAAAGGCAGGAGAGGTTTTAAAAATGGAAGTTTTTATCTTCTAGTCCCCATGAGAAGGAAAGCCACCTGGGCAGGTGAGATAAAGGGTTCTATGCCCATGGGAAGTCAGAAGCAGAGTGAAAAAGAGGCAGAGCTCCTTCCAAAGCTTCACATGCCATGTGCACTCTGTGGGTGCTGGAAGATGGCACTTGAGTGTAAAATAAAGGACTCTTTTGTGCATTATCCTGGAATTTCTTAGTGTGCTTGGCTGACTAACAGTAAGAGAATTTAATAATAAACTCGGCCAGATCCAGCCTCCATCAGTAGGGTTATAGAACTTAGGGTTATACTGGGGGGTCTGCCTAGGGGAAAGAGATCTTTTGATCTTATAAGTGGAACATTTTCCAGAAAAGTAGACTTTCACACTGCCAAGATGGACAACCTCTAACTGTATTGCCTGAGTTTTAGTATCCAAATACTTCAACGTTGAGCTCCTATTTGTATGTTAGTTTCTGAAAGAACAGTGAAGAGAGAGAAAACCCCACCCCATCACACTAATGATGAGCCTCAACTTGCTCCTGAGTTCACAACACACCAGAGGAGCTCAGAGAGCACAGGACATTTTCACTGTAGGACAAGCTCTGTTACAGATGAGCTGCATGATCTTGAGTGAGTGATTTCATCTCTCAGATTGCTGAGAATGAGAGAATTGTCCTAAACCATTGGGCAAACACTTTCCAGCTTTATGCTTCTTACTGAATCCTTCCTACCATACACTTTTGTTTCCCTGTACTGATCATGGTCAACTTACTTGGGCGAGTTATTTGATCATTCTTGGCTTAGTCTTCTCATTTCAAGCCAGCGGCATGTACTGAATACATACATACACACATCAAGTACTGGAGATACAAAAGTTAATGTGGCACATTGCCACATCCTAATTTGTACCCCCTCCATGTCATTATGCCCTTTGCCATGTGACTTTGTGCTTCATTCTGCTCAAGAGGTAGAGTGGATTCCTCTGCCTCTTCAGTTTGGGTTCGTGACTTGCTAAGTCCAGTAGAATACAGCAGACATGAAGTGGTGCTAGTTCCAAACCTGGGCCCTATAGGGTCTTATGTTTTTCTGTTTACCCTCTAGCACCTTTGAGAGCTGAGAGGAGCATCCCAAAGCTAGTCTATCTGCTGGTCCAAAGACATGTGGAAAAGAACAGAGCTATCTCACCAAGCCCAGGCTCTATGAACAACCCCCAGACAATACCCAGCTGTGTGAGCTACATAAGTGCTTATTGGTGTAGGTTATTGAAGTTTGCTAAAAAAAAAAAAAAAAAAAGAAGAAGACAAATTAGGTGATAGAACAAACTTTATTTAACATTTCATGAAGCCAGCATTCTCCATTCTCAAGGGTCCAGAGAAGTACAAAGCAGGGAGAAAATGAATAAGGAATAGAAAAATTAAAAATGAACAAGGGAAATATTTGAGTCACATAGCAATCAGGGATTGGTCTCCTAGATGGTGTGACTTTTGGGCAAATGGAACCCTTACAGGAACATGAAACTTTTAACATTAGGTTTAGGTTTGCTGACATTTCTGAGTCAGTAATGCCAAGCTGACTAAAGAAAGGTCATTTTTGAGTGAATTAAAGACTTCAACAGGCTGTATGGTTGTTTGTTATGCAGCATGATTGTGGCAGTAACTGATCCAGTGAATAAAATCTAGTCCCTTGAGTTCAACGAGCTCATACTGGAGAAAATTAGACTGGTAGACACGTAGATGCAATCCAGTATAAAACATGATAAAACATGTAAGGCAGAATCTGCTGATGGAGATGTTCCAAGTGCTCTGAGAACATAGTACAAGGGTCTGTATCAAAGGAGTCTTTCCCGTCGGCAAGAGAGGGAAGAAATTGTGTTTTACTCTATTCTGTATCCCTGGTGCCAAGCAGAGGGTCTGGAACAGACTGGGAGCTTTAGTTAATTATTCTGAATTCACCCCCATGCCCCACGTCCCTTCTTTGTCTTCCTCTTTGTTCCAGAAGACCAACTCCTGTGGACTGCTTCACTGGGGCTTTATATCTGGCTGGGTTAGAGCCATGGTGATCAGAGAGCGAGAGGAGAGAGACCCTGGGGTGTTTCTTCTCCACTCCCACCGTATTTTGAAACCAGAGTCCTCCAAAAGGTGCTTCATTTGAGCCATCTGGGTACAACGTAATTATCTTTCCTGCCACCTTCCTACCTGGCACAGTGTTCAAAATACATTTGTTAAATGACTTATCAACTAACATTTAACGGCCATCTACTATAATCCAGACATTTTTTTCTAGGCACTGTTGATACAACTGTGAGCCAGGCAGATGAAATCCTGCCCTCCTGGAAGGACGGACAATAACAAAGGGACGTAAGATAACGCAGATACGAACATGTCATGTGAGGAAAACAAAGGAAAAGTGAGGAAGTAGAGGGGCTCTGGCTTAGATGGGAAACCAGGAAAGGCTGCTCTGAGGTGGTGGCATTTGACCAGGGACCCAAATAAAGTGAGGGAGTGACCATGAGAAGAGCTGGAGAAGCATATTCCCAGAAGAAGGAAGAACAAGTGCAAAAGTGGAAAGGTGAAGACCCAAAGAAGAGCAGAGCCCAGTGTGGCCAAAACGAGCAAGTACAGATGATGTCAGAGGACTCGCAGGGGACTATCCCTCAGGGGATCATGGTAAAGACTTTGGATTTTATCACAGGACTGACTTCATATCTCAACAGGATGCTATTAGAGAAAAATTCTTCTGATACCTGTTAAAATGATAAATAAGACTTTATTCAAGACCATTACAGTAGGAGAAGGGATGGAACTCAACTCCAAACACAACAGGGATGAGCAGGGATTTATATCCGAGGAGCAGAGTGAGGGGGTCAATGGATGGAAATCACTAAAGGAGATGTCAACGGCAGGGACTCTTGCTGACGTGGCCTACCAGGATTCTCACTCAAGCCAGGCTGAGGACTTAGATCAGGTGGGGATAAGAGTGGAGTGGAGGGTGAGGAATTTGATAAGATATTAAGGGTGGGAGGATTCCTGCTAAACTGACTTAGCAGGATTCTTTGCTAAAACTGGGCTCAGCAGCTCAAGGACAGGGCAGCAGGCTGAGGGAAGCCTGGCTAGAGCTGGGTCAAGGAGAGAGTCTTTGTCGATCCCTTGGGCTGCCATCTGGAGAGTCCAGGATAGGGGCCAGAGGAAGTGACGAGACAGTTGGGAGGCTCTCACAGGCAATTAGGAGTCCCCAGCAGGGAATGACAGTGGCATGTGAAGGTGGTGCCTGAAAGAATCAACAGGCATTCGAACTGAGTCTCAAAGGACAAGTAGGAATGAGCCAGACTGGGCAAGAAGGCATTCCAGGCAGAAGGAACAGAATGAACTAAGGCATGGAGGTGCAAGAGGAGACCTTGGAGGAATAATGAGGTGGCCCCTTGGGGAGATCAGAGGCTGCCTGTGTGGATGCACAGGACTCGAATAACCTAGGTACTTGAGGGAACCTTGACTGGCCCTTCCAGCATACAATTCTACTGTCTACGGTTCTGCTGGCTCTACTCAGCATTTCAGAACTGGGCACAGGGCTTCTCGCACTTCCATCTTCAAAAGCCTTTCATTCTATTTAAGCTTATCAGAGAAAGGGGCCCCGCTTCTCTGAGAGGCCTTGCTGATGGCGCCAGCAGGAAAACCACACGGCTCCCTCTCTCTTGTGGTACCTCCAGACGGTCCAGGTGGGGCCCTCAACTGTCATGGGAGGAGGGCATGGCAGAGAGATAATGCAGAGTATCACACGGAGACTCTTCAACTCTTGTCTGGGTAAACAGCTAGCAACCTGGTGAGAGTTTCTTTCATCGGGGAAGGATAGACCCTACCACCAGGCAACGTAAGCTCAAATCCCACGTCAGCTATTTACTATCTGTGCGACCCTGGGCAAGTGATTTAACCTCTCTACGCCTCGGTTTCTTCTCAATCAGTAGAGGCAAAAATGGTACCTACTTCATAGATTGTTGCAGAGATTTAAGGACTTCACGATAGCGAAGGGCTCAGACTCATGCCTGGCACTCTTGTCGGAGCTGTGCACTCTTCTCTTTCTCCTTTTAAATTTAAATTAAAGTTCAGAAAACATTTATTGAGCTCCTACCTCATGCAGGCACTTTTTGGGGCCAGAGGGGTTAGGGGTGAGCAGACCCAGTCCCCAGCCTCGAGAGGCATACAAATTGGGGAAGAGTTAGTTGCCATCCGGTGGGATAAGAGCCAGGAGAGGGAGCAGAGGGGCCTTTAGGGGCTCATGGAAGAACCTGCTTGTAAGCTGAG